ATGAAATGGGGGTCCCTATGTCCTCCAGCAGTCTAAGCCTATAGCAGCATAACGATAGAGATAGCTCAAGACATTGTGTCATTGAGCCACTGGGAGCTAGAAGGAGCTTTAGTAAACATTCAGTGCAAAAGAAGGCAACGTTCTTGCCAGTAATGAAGTAAATGCTAAAATATCTAATTGGTTAGAGCCTAACCTGTTATGGTCCTCTGGGAGCCCAAATATGGCAATGTTGGTCGAGACTTTTATGACCACAAAAAGTATTTTTGACATGGTATCAAAGTGATTCGACTAGAAGCGGGAAAGTAGTGGACAAGAATACAACATATGGGATAAATTGCATGGTGAGGCATAACATTTGTTGCATTTGTCTGCAATACTGGGATACATTTGTGAGAGTCGGGCTTCTGAAAAATGGAGTCTAAACGGTTGCTTTGAACTGTAAAAGTGTCAGATGAGCACAGAATGAGCTTTTGGAATTGTCTTAAGAGCAGCATTCCACCAGTCATCCTCGTTCCAGGCATCCCTAACATTAGTTATTAGCGAGCAGTCAAAAGACAAAAGTTCATTACAAATTTTAGAGATAAGTGATTTTTGACTAATTATATTTTATTTTTACCAGCAGGAGGCGACTCATAGGATTGTGTGCTCACATTTTCAATATTATTCTAACTTTATTTACAAGATTAAGTGTTTGAGAAGCAGATCTCATTGACAGGCATTTTGAATTATTCTGTAATATTAAAAAAAAAAATTTATCTGGAATTTCATGAAACAGTGGAGCGATCAGAACAGTCAGGGTGAACTGCAAGGTCATCTGGTGATAATATTCAAATGAAGAGCAGGTTTGATCTCCATCACTCTATATATCTACAATTTGTTTAAAAAATATATGTATATAAAAGCAAAGAACAATAGTGGTTGATAAAGAACAATAAATGGATACAAGAAGACTCGGTAAGAATTGGTCCAAAATAGGTTTAAGGATCTGGAAGCAATTTATGCCAAATTAAGCAAAGTTGGCAAAACTTTAAGAACAAGTTTTAAAATGAAGACAAACCCAAACCGACATAAAACTAAATCAATGAAGATTTAATTTCCCTCCACAACTTTAAGAACATAGGTACGGAAGAGGATTAGGGCCACTGAAAAAAAAAAGGTAACTGATTTTTAGATTTTATTTCAGTTTA